ATCATTTTTATATTGCGTGATACTGCCCAGTCCAGTTTAAGCTTGTTTCGAGTCATGCTGTACTAAATCATGTTCCTTGTCCAATTTAAAACTAGAAAATATTATCGTTTCTTCAGGTACCCTGTCCATGATAAGAGGTTTCTGTGACCGTCTCTTTATAATTAGGATATTGATAATGATAATGATATTAATGATAATGATAAAAATATGATGATGATCATAACAATAATGATAATAATACCAATAATGCTAATAATCTCATACAGAACGAGAAGTATAACGTTGGGGTTTAGGGTCTGACTGGTAAGGTTAAACCGCTGGAAATCAGTATGTGAAGGAGAAACTATCGGCCGGTTTGTTAAAATTGTGCGAGGCTCCACTCAATAAATATTTCTTATACGGACATGCATATACACAGAAATTGCCATATCTATCAGTCTAAACATGCATATCTACCGGACAGATAGATAGATAAATGTGTATCAATCAGATAAATATGCATTTATTTCTCTGTGAATGCATGTCCGTATATGTGCATACAATTTTAACAAACCGGGCTTATAATGATAGGTCAACGAGCACTTGTTTTTCCCACAATGCATCGCGCCATGGATCAGTGACGTCACAGGAGACTCCTACGTGGGGCATCAAACAAGCGTTTTTTCCGTTATTTTTCTTGTTCTAAACAATGGCACGGTGTATTACGTACGGGTGCAATGGCGATAATAAATGTAAGATACAAAGAAAGCTTAATTTCTATAGATTTCAAAAGACAAAGCAGCAAGAATCTCTCTCATTCTTGGCTTTACTAAAAGGTTTACACATCATGCAGAGTGTGATGTGTAAACTCTTCTAAAAGAGTTAAAGTTAAAAATGTGTAAACTCTTCTAAAAGTTACAAAAGAGTTAAAGGTTATTGAAACAGGGGATCCATACATGTCGTCGGGCAGATAAACTGAACCCTAAGACTGCCAGTGTTTGTTCCCGACATTTCAAAGAGACAGAAAAGGAAAGATAAGAAAAGGCAAGAAAAAAACAAAAGACAAGAAAATAAAAAAAGAAAACTTATCAACAAACCGAAATACCCGCTTAGTACAACACAAACAACAACAAACTACAACACTATATTCCTGTCAACCTGGAAGAATTGTTCTTTTTTCATAGACGTAAAAACAGGTCACATCTGGACTTACACTGTTATTAGAATTATTAAGGAAGACTATTACCATGTTCTAAGGATGGTTATTTGGAACCAAAACATGCATAAAAAATACAAGGAAACTGCAATGAGAGAAGAAAAGGTATAGGCCTACTTATGGGAAAATGTTAAGTTATAGGCCTACTTATGGAAAATAGACGAAGCCAAAGATGGGTGAGACAAATGAAGAGCTTATAATGCGTCCAGCGGAGAGAGATGGAAAATAAAAAGAAAGACAGTCAATGATCTGTTTCTTGGTGTATGGCTATACTGATAATGCATAGCTAGCCTCTCACGTTGTCCAGTACTGTATAATCTTGTCTACACACACACACACACACACACACACACACACACACACACACACACACACACACACACACACACACACACACACACACACACACACACACACACACATACACACACACACAACAAACACACACACAAACAAACACAAACACGCACACACACAAAATCAAAACTATATACACAACTTTAAACTCTTTTAGAACAGAGGACACAATCTTTTTTTAGTAAAACCAGAAATGAGAGAATTTTTGGGGTTTGAACGAGATTCGTGCTGGCGAGGGTCTTCGCCGTGCGCCATCAACGTGACGTAAGAGAGTGTGACGTCATAACTGGCTTGATGACGTTTCACTGAACTATCCATACTGTTTCCCATCCTTGTTATAAAGCATTCTCTTATCGTCTTTTGCCTTGTTAAGTTATTCTAACAACAGTAATTCCGTGTAAGGAACAGATGTTGCAAATGTTGACAAAGTTTTACATGACGGTTTGTGTGTGCACCTTTGTGTATTTTTTGTGTTTACTTTTATGCTTGATTTCTCCTTTGCTATTTTCTATTTTTTATTGGTATGTACATTGTACTATATTTAAGTGGTTATACCTGTCATTGTCTTTAAACACACACACCATACGCACACACGCGCACACACACACACACACACACACACACACACACACACACACACACACACACACACACACGAGTGAATGACCAATTGCAAAAAAAGGAAAATAGGATATCAAGAAGTGCATCCCCCAACCCTTTCTCCTCCTCCTCCTCCCCCCCCTCCTCCTCCACCTCCCCCTCCTCCTCCAGCCCCTACAGCTCTACTTTCACCCCCTCCCCCTCCTCCTCCTCACACCCCGCCGCCGCCGGTGATCGAGGAGCATTCTCATTCAAGTGACCTTTGTGGCGAAAGCTTCCTCCTCTGCATGGCACCCCTTTCTAGTGCATGACCTATCTGCCCTTTGCATGACCCGCACCTCACGTGCAAGCTATATGGCTCTGCTTCTGGTGACTAATAAGCTCTGCATGACTGGCCGTTATCCACTCCATACGTACGTTTTAGAGAGTCTTCGCATGACACTTCACATGCATAACATAATCTGCACTTTTTTTTTTTTTTTTTTTTTTTGCATGTCTACGGTTATAAAATCAGAGCTTCTCTCTCTCTCTCACGGCTAGCTTTATCTTCCTCCTTTGCACTTACTACGGCGTGGCCTACTTCCGCTCGCTGTTGATCCACTTTTGCGTGATTGCTTGCATTTGTTCATGACCTCCTAACAGGCTTCATTAACCGTATGCAGGTGCTGGATGCGTCGCCAGGGGGCATTGGCATAGTTTCTGGCCCCTAGACTAGCACGCATGAGCAACGTACGTGCATACAAGTAAAACCACTTCTGTGTATTCGGACAAAGATAATGGCACGTGTAAGTGGGCAATATGTAAACAAGTGCATATACGTACACATACTTGCACACACACACACACACACATATACACACACACACACACATACACACACACACACACACACACACACACACACACACACACAACACATATACACTTACGCACATACATAAACACGCACCACCACACGTAAACACATACATACATACACACACAAATACATATAGACACACATACATATACACACACACACATATACACACACATACATATACACACACATACATATACACACACACATACATGAACACACACACACATACATGCAAATATATATAAACACACTCACAGACACACGTACATACACATACATAGACACACATATACATATAAACACACGCAAACACTCACACGCACACGTAAAGACACATAAACATATAACATACACATACATAACATACACACACCTACAATCTTACAGTGCCTTCTGGTTACAAAAATAGAACGCAGGCCTTAGTGACAAGGAGAGAAAAAAAAAACATACAGCCCACAAGCAAAACAAAACACCCGGCGCTGTTTAAGTGAAATGCCCCTTTTCCTTCCCTGGCCTGACCTAATCTTGTTTGCCGACACATTTACTTGCGCTCTGTGGCTTCCCCCGTGTAAGGTGCTGCTTCTATGTGATATGACTGGATGGAAGCCCTCCTTTGTTTAATACTACGTTGCTTCGTCTGAGAGCGGAGGGGCTATGTTGGGAAAACGACGTCTGTTTATTTATTTATTTATTTATTTTATCATGACTCTATCTTATTCATACTGATTTATTTGTTATAAAGAGAACCTAAAATATGTATGTGTTGATTGAGGAAGCGTTGGGAGCCTGGGTGAACTTTTCAAGTGTAGGAGTTGCCGCCACCTGCCGGTCCGCGTCCGTGCCTGTCACACCGCTCTCCACCGCATCGCCGCCAAAACAGAGAGAACTACAGAACCACTTGTTAAAAGAACACCATCGCCTCGTTAAACGGGTGTTATTACGACAATTATTCTGATTAGCTCGGTCTCTACTCTGTTTCGCAATCAAACTGGGTCTGAAAAGTCGTCAACACTATTATCTGTCTTCTTTGTGGTCTGGTGAAATTTCCGAAGTCGTATTATCGCTGCAGAAAGCAACAAGCCGTCAGAAGTCGCATATACTGTGGTCACATGACGCACACATTTTATGACCATCTATGCTACCAAGGAAGGAGGGTTTCGTGTTAACACCTTCGTCAGACGCCAGAAGAAGGAAGCTAACCTCTTTCAAGGATATTACTTGATGTACGATAGGCCTACTTAATATCTGTTATTCTCTAATTGAAATTATTAAAGATCTCCATTGTTTGTTGCCTTGTTCGTTGTTTTTACAAATATCTCACACCAGCACCCACTTCCATACCAAATTCACTACACTATAGTACCAGGTAATCACACCAATGGTTTGTGTGTTTGTTATAACCCAAGCAATATTGTACATTATTCCATGTAAAGAAATAAATCGTTATGAATCGGGATCTTGATGTCTCTTCGTCCTCTTCTTTTATCTTTTTCTGTCCAAAATATAGATTTCACTTGTTTCTCCCTTATACCTTTTATAATCGCTCCGTTCTTCTCTTTTCTTCTTCTTCTTCCCTCTCTCCTCCTCCTCCTCCTCCCTCCTCCTCCTCCTCCACTCCTCCTCCTCCTCCTCCTCCTCCTCCTCCTCCTCCTCCTCCTCCTCCTCCTCCTCCTCCTCCTCCTCCTCCTCCTCCTCCTCCTCCTCCTCTCCTCCTACCTCTTCTTCCCTTTGCCTCGCGTCCGTTACATACCTCAACGCCCTCGCTTATTACTCCTACGTGCTCTTTTTCTTTCTTTTGTCCTTTGCTTCCACGTCTCCACCTTCGCTTCCTTATCACGCCCTTTTCCTAATCCAGTCTCTCTCTCTCTCTCGATCCTCCTCCTCCTCTTCCCCTACTTATCCTCCCCTCCTCTCGCCCTACATTCGTCTCCCTCCACCTATTTCACTATTCAACGACTCAACTCACGCCCACTCTCCCGCCCACAGCTGCCGCCCAAGATGAGCATGAGCAAGGCACCGGCGCCGCCCCCTGCGAGTGAGATTACCAAGGAAATGCGCAAGTTGTCGTTCGAGGACAAGGAATCACGGAATAACAAGGGTGAGTTCTTGTCCCGTTATTTCTCACGTCTAACCGCTCGAGATCTTTTTATTTTTATTTTTTTTTGTTATGTTTTTGATTGATTATTATTGTTGTTTTGACTACTTTTTTTGTTATGGCTGTTGTTATGTATGTTTTGATTATTATTGTTGTTTTGACTACTTTTTTTGTTGTGGCTGGTTATGGCTGTTATGTATGTTTTGATTGGTTATTATTGTTGTTGTTTTGACTACTTTTTGGGGGGTTCTGTGATTGCGTTCGCTTGTTTGAGCTAATCAGGGTAAACGGGTTTTATTATCAATCGTTTTTTCGTTTTTATTAATCTCATCAAAAGGTTTAATCCGAAGAGATACAACCACGACTGGAACCACTATTTCATGCAAATATTTCCCGGATATACTATCAGTTCAACCACCCAAAATACATGACGAGGATTTATCGTAATCAGTGGCAAATAGAAGCAAGAATTCGTTTTTTATTCATTTATCAAGAAGACAAACACGACTGGAACCCACTATTTCATGCAAATATTTCCCGGACATAACATACCTTCAGTTATAACCACCAAAAATACATGACGAAGATTTATCGTATCAGCGGCAAATAAAAGCAAGATTTCGTTTTTATTCATTCAAATTTTAACCAATAATTCATGCAAATATTTCCCGGTTCAAACCACCAAAAATACGTAATCAGCAAAGAAGCAAGAATTAGTTCAAACCACCAAATATATGACGAAGATTTATCGTAATCAGCGGCAAATAGAAGCAAGATTCGTTTTATCTCATCAAAATGTTTGGAACCCACTATTTCATGCAAATATTTTCCGGACATAATATACTATCAGTTCAAACCACCAAAAATACATGACGAGGATTTATCGTAATCAGCGGCAAATAGAAGCAAGAATTCGTTTTTATTCATTTCATCAAAAGGTTTAATCCGAGGAGAACAAACCACGAACCCACTATTTCATGCAAATATTTCCCGGATATACTATCAGTTCTAACCACCAAAAAAATGTATGACGAAGATTTATCGTAATCAGTGGCAAATAAAAGCAAGAATTCGTTTTTATTCATTTTATCAAAGGTTTAATCCGAGGAGAAACAAACACGACAGGAACCCACTATTTCAAGCAAATATTTCCCAGACATAATATACTATCAGTTCAAACCACCAAAAATACATGACGAGGATTTATCGTAATCAGCGGCAAATAGAAGCAAGAATTCGTTTTTATTCATTTCATCAAAAGGTTAAACCCACTATTTCAAGCAAATATTTCCCGGATATACTATCAGTTCAAACCACCAAAAATACATGACGAGGATTTATCGTAATCAGTGGCAAATAGAAGCAAGATTTCGTTTTTATTTCATTTCATCAAAATGTTTTAGCTGAAGGAGATACAACCGCGACAGGAACCCACTAGTTCAAGCAAATATTTCCCGGATATACTATCAGTTCTAACCACCAAAATATATGACGAGGATTTATCGTAATCAGCGGCAATTAAAAGCAAGAATTCGTTTTTATTCATTTCATCAAAAGGTTAAACCCATTATTTCAAGCAAATATTTCCCGGACATAACATACTATCAGTTCAAACCACCAAATATATATGACGAGGATTTATCGTAATCAGTTGCAATTATAAGCAAGAATTCGTTTTTATTCATTTCATCAAAAGGTTAAACCCATTATTTCAAGCAAATATTTCCCGGATATACTATCAGTTCAAACCACCAAAAAATAGGTGAAGATTTATCGTAATCAGCGGCAAATTTCTTTCACCTAGACGTCAAGCAGCAGCCGCAGGAGCAGCCGGCGGCCCTGCCTCTCCCGCAGGAGTTCGTGGTTAAGTACCTCGGTCGTCGCGACGCTGGAGGTCTCTGGGGCATTAAGGTAGGATCCTGTGTTTCTAATGGGGGCACTTAGCGTGATGGAAGTGGGATATGCACTGGGGTATGAATGCACGTGTGAACACACATACACGCACGCATACACACACACACACACACACACACACGCACACACACACACACAACACACACACACCTTATATATATATATATATATATATATATATATATATATATATATATATATATATATATATGTATATATATATATATATATATGTATGTATGTATGTATGTATGTATGTATGTATGTATGTATATATGTATGTACACACACATATACATATATATGCATATGTATATGTGTGTGTGTGGACAGAGAGAGAGAGAGAGAGAGAGAGAGAGAGAGAGAGAGAGAGAGAGAGAGAGAGAGAGAGAGAGAGAGAGAGAGAGAGAGAGAGAAAAAGAGAAGAGAAAAAGAAAAAGAAAAAGAAAGAAAGAAAGAAAGAAAGAGAAAGAAGAGAGAAAGAAAGAAAGAGAGAGAGAGAGAGAGAAAGAGAGAGAGTTAACTGAAAACCTCTTAACTCAACATCGGAACAGAAGCTGGAATTAGAAAATAACAAACCGTTCACACTTAGGCCTAAATTCATGCTATAACCCGAAGCCTCTCGTCCCTCGGGCCATCACTAATTTTCTCTTCTCCTCTTCCTCCATCTCAATCTTCAACAATACTACATCTTCTCACTTCCTCCACCTCCACCATCAAACCGTCTTCCACTCTGCCCCTGAAATTTTACCCCAATCTCCATCATACCCACCTCCACTTCTCCCTCCATCTCCACCATTCCTCCCTCCACTCGCACCATACCAACCACCTCTTGATCCACCTCTGATATACACACTGAATATTTCCTCTAATCTACATCATACACACTTCCATATCTCGCTCCGCCTCCATTACACCCCTCCCCCTCTCCATCTCTACCACCCTCCCCCTCTCCATCTCAACCACCACACCCCTCCCCCTCTCCCTCTACCACCTCCCCTCTCTACCACACCACACCACCACCACACACCCCTCCCCCTCTCGCTCCACCTGCACCATACCCTCCACACATGCCTCTCCACCTCTACCACCTGCACATTTCCCTCCACCTCCACCACCCCCACCCTCTCTCCCCACCACCACCACACTCCCCCTCTCGCTCCACCTCCACCACATCCCTCCACCTCTCCCCACCACCACCACACGCCTCCCCCTCTTGCTCCACCTCCACCACACCCCTTCCCCCCTCGCTCCACCTCTACCACCTGCACATTTCTCTCCACCTGACCCTCCACCTCCGGGCCCACAGCACACCCGCAAGCCCGTAGACGACATGGTGGCGCGCGCGAAGGAGATGAAGCCCGGGGAGACTCTGCCCTTCCTGAAGATGACGGTGAGCGAGAAGGGCGTCAACATCTCCGAGATGCCCCAGAACGTCAACAAGAACTTCGAGGGAGGCTTCTACAACATCGATGTGATCAGGTGAGGGAGCTTTCCGTTGCGGGGGTTGTGGGGAGGTTGTGGGGGAGGTCGGGGTAGTGTGAGGGGCCTGGGGGTGGGGGGAGGTTTGGGGAGGTGGGGGTGGTGTGAGGGGCCTCTTCCGCTGCGGGGGTTGTGGGGGAGTTGTGGGGGAGGTTGGTGAGGGGCCTCTTCCGCTGTGGGGGTTGTGGGGGAGGTTGTGGGGGAGGTTGGGGTGGTGTGAGGCCTCTTCGCTGCGGGGGTTGTGGGGGAGGTTGGGGGAGGTCGGGTGGTGGTGAGGGGCCTCTTCCGCTGCGGGGGTTGTGGGAGAGGGGCCTCTTTCGCTGCGGGGTTGTGGGGAGGTCGGGGGTGTTGCTGCGGGGGTGGGAGGTTAGCGGGTGGTGTGAGGGGCCTCTTCCGCTGCGGGGGTTGGGGGGGTGGGGGAGGTCGGGGTGGTGTAAGGGAGCTCTTTCGCTGCGGGGGTTGTGGGGAGGTTGGGGGTGGTGTGAGGGGCCTTCCGCTGCGGGGTTGTGGGGAGGTTGGGGGGAGGTCGGGGTGGTGTGAGGGCCTCGCTGCGGGGTTGGGGGGAGGTGGGGGAAAGAGGAAGCGGGTGGGGAATGAGGCAAATCATGCGTTGCTCTCTTCGTTATTGGTTTTCAACCTCGCTGTCATTAATGGGTTTGTTATTTCCCCTTTTTTTGCTATTATATCATCAGATAAAGCTAAGTTATTGATGGTAAGCAAAACTTCTTGTGCATTTATCAATATCTTTCAACTTAGATGTACGCTTTTTTCCTTCCCCGTGTGTGTGTGTGTGTGTGTCTAACCTGCTCACTGACCTATGTGCACACAGCTACGGCGTGCAGGACCTCGTGTACACGCGGGTGTTTGCCATGATCGTGGTGAAGGAGGAGGCAGCCAGCATCGCCAAGTCGCAGCACCCTTTCCAGTGTCACGCCTTCGTCTGCGATTCTCGCCATAACGCCCGCAAGCTTACCTTCGCCCTCGCCCAGGCCTTCCAGCAGTTCTCGAAGGAGGTCGGTGCTCCTTGTGTGTGTGTGTGTGTGTGTGTGTGTGTGTGTGTGTGTGTGTGTGTGTGTGTTGTGTGTGTGTGTGTGTGTGTGTGTGTGTGTGTGTGTGTGTGTGTGTGTGTGTGTGTGTGTGTGTGTGTGTGGTGTGTGCGTGTGTGTGTGTGTGTGTGTGTGTGTGTGTGTGTGTGCGTGCGTGCGTGCGCGTGTGTGTGTGTGTGTGTGTGTGTGTGTGTGTGTGTGTGTGTGTGTGTGTGTGTGTGTGTGTGTTTTAGATATCTTACCCAACAGCTCGATTAATAGCAGGATAGATAAGGAGAGCGCAGAGAGAGAGAGAGGAGAGAGAGAGAGAGAGAGAGAGAGAGAGAGAGAGAGAGAGAGAGAGAGAGAGAGAGAGAGAGAGAGAGAGAGAGAGAGAGAAAGGAAAGAAAGAAGAAGAAAAGAAGAAGAGAGAAGAAGAAGAGAGGAGAGAGTGAGAGAGTGAGAGATTAAAAAGAAAAAGAAAAAGAGAATTCTGTCTATTACACAGAACGTGAAGAATACTCGCCTTCCAGCACGACGCACCAGCCGAAGAATCCAAGAAGTAATGACACTAATTATGCTAATAACGACGATAAATTTCGAGAAAGTTAGTGACCGCAATGTGTCACAAAACAAGAGGATGGCATTCCTGTGTAATTATCATATCAGAAATCTCTCTTAGTGAGATTTCCGGTAGGAGAAGAAAGGGAAGAAAGAGAGAATGAGAGAAGGAGAGAAAGAAAGAAAGAAAGAAAAATATCGCAGTTTGTCTCGCTATAGTGTTTAATTGGCGGATAAGAACGTTATTGTTCCATGTTGTTTGGGACTGAGATTTGTTTGTTTGGGAATGCCTGTTGGTGTGAATGTTATGGCAAACTTTGTTAGAATTAAAGAGCTTTTTCTCTGTATGTTTCATACTCTAAGATTTGTGCACGTTAAAAAAGTAGGCCTATGAACTTAGATTTTTTTTTTCACTTACAGTCTTTATAATGGAAATTTTCTCTTTCTCATTCTTGCTTCGCTTTTACTATAAGAAGATGGATCAATGAATCTAAGAAATATATGTTCTGTCATTTTTATTATGTAAACTCATCCATTTTCTCTTTTTTTTTGGCTCATGATTTTTAAGAAATATCGTTTTTTTTAAATCAAAAGTTTCCATTATGGAAGCTCGCGTACCTTCAATTTCCTAAAGTTAAAGCTTTCTTAAAATTCTCCTAAGAAAAAAGGTATTTTTCACAACGTAAGGCCACTCAGAAAGCTAAAGATGATTTCATTTAAGATTTTCTTCTTATCCAAGTAGTCATCATTAAAAAAAAAAAATAAATAGAAAATACAAAAAAGATAGATAATAAAAATAAAATAAAAAATAAAAAATAAATAATGATAATAAAAATAAAATAGTCATCATTCAAAAAAAGATAAATAAATAAAAATACAAAAAAGATAGATAAATAAAAGAATAAAAATAAAAATAAAAAAGACCTTTTCGGAATCCCCTTTCATTCCGTGAGGCGACCAGACCCCCCCCCCCCCAAGGCCCTCGAGCTAAGTGCCCCCCCCCCCCCTTTCCCCCCCGCAGGTGAAGGCCAACAAGTCCACTCGGAAACCCAAGAAGTTTGCGATCGATCTCCGGTCTCCCGAAGAGATCGAGGTCGACCTCAAGGAAGCTGATTCCGAGGCTTAGACGCGGCTGGGACCTTCGAGTGTCGGATGGAGGGTGAGCTGGAAGATGAAGAGGAAGGATGGAAGAAAAGAAGAAGAAAGGGAAAAAAGAGATTAAAAAAAGAAGGAAAAAAGAGATTAAAAAAAGAGTGAAGAGAAAAGAAGTGAATTGGTGTCTTGAGTGATGAAAATAATTGGGAAAAAAAACAGATTATTTTACCGGGTTTTTCTTAGTGATGAAAAAAAATCCAAGAAATGCCGATGAAAGAGGAACAGAAATAGAAGGAAGAAAAATCACTGTTGGAATAACCAGTATCCTAGACTTGATAATTTCGTGAAACAAAGAAAATGAAAGAACAAATAAGAAAAGAGAGAGAGAGAGAGAGAAATAATAAAGTGATCAAATTAAGTTGGAAATTCAGGTCAGTGTTATGGCCTGAGCTGATAAATGCAACAGATAATCTCTTATCGTGTCACGTGACTTAGATAAAAGAAAGAGAACCAATTTTCTGGATACGTTTAAGCCAAAGTTTTAGAATGAGATAGTTTTCCGATTTTAGTTTTTAAAAATCGCTTAAAACTCATTTCATCAAAGGAATTATAATATTAACAAATATAAACAAACTGATATCTCGAAGTAGTGAAGTCCATTTGAAAAAAAATATAAAAGATTATGAAAAAAAGCTATTTTAATATTCAGAACTCAGAACATCATAGATAAGACACACTAATGCTTTATATATGTATCAGATGATCCTATCAGACTAATAGAACAATTAATTAACCCTCCAACGCAGCAAAAAAAAGGAAGAGATTAACAAATAAATGAAATGCAAAAATGAAAATAGAATTCCTTAATTACAGAGATTGAAAAAAATACAATCAAGAAATCTCTACGGAATTTAATCAATTAAAAAACAACTATGTATATTCATATATATATATATATATATATATATATATATATATATATATATATATATATATATATATATACATACATACATATATATGTATGTATATAATAAAGTAATTTTGAGATCGGAGGGTGAAGGGAGGCAGAGGAAAGGAAGAGAGGATGTAAATGAGAATGTAAAAAGAAAGAGAGAGAGAGAGAGAGGGAGGGAGAGAGATAAGAAAATTTCAAGGGAAAAATATATATACATAATGAAAGGAGAATCGAGAAATGAGGAAAAGGGAAGTTAGATACATGTCCAGCTAACCTTTGTAGACGAAACTTACTATTGCTCTTTTGTCCTTTGTCGAACTCCATTAAATGAGGCTTGTTAAACCTCCCTTTCAACAGTGAAACAAAGTCCATGAAACATCATTTTTTTAATGAATCATTCTTACTGATTCACCGCTATCAAAGACACGGGTCTCAGCAGAAGGAAAGGGACTGAGGCGGGCCAATTAGCGTTCGAGAAAGCCCCAGAGAGCCATTGTCTCTCCCCCCCTCCCTCCCTCCCTCTCCCTCCTCCCTCCTCTCCTCCCTCCATTTCTCCGCGACACTGTTACTGTCAGACCCACGAGCATAACGAAGAGCCCGCACACTTCACTCACAGCGGCCCCCCGTCAACCCCCGGGAATGGAAACTGTTAACGAAATCCCACATCAGCCATCGGCAGAAGCTTCTCTCGTAGTGTTCGTGTGACCGCAGCTTTCACCTCTTGCTGCGCTGTTCTCGCTTCGATAAACCAAGAAGGAAGGAATTACAAGCAGGTATAACAGCAGGGAAATAATGGAATTGACGTCGCCTTAACCCAGAGCCAGGAAGGGCCGGCCGGAAGTCAACAAGAACAACAACAACAACACTATCAGCAAGATGGCCCACCCCCTCCCCAGCAGCCCCCGCCACCCCCCTCAACCTTGGCGTCGGCTGGAGCGACAGATGGCCGCTGGTTGCCG